GTTAATTTTTTAACATTATACAAGAATTGTACACGTTTTTTCTACATCCCCTTAAAGATGGGATGTACGAAATCGTAATATCACTGGTTTAACATCGAAATCCGTGAGTAATATAAAATCGGAGAGCGGAATAAATATATCAAATATTTTAATGGATTTTTTAAACTCCTGTCAACTATACAGAACTATCGTAAAAACATACCAGTAAATTCTTATCGGTTGGGTTAAGTTATAAATCTACTCGTTATTCACGTAATCAGCCAAATATCTAGCGGGCGGGCGGCTAACAGCCCAGAACCGGTCCTAGATAGAATTGGAAGCGTTATATGTTTAGCATCAACCCAACGTCATAGGCTTCCACCGGATAAACCGGGTGAGGTTGGTGTTCTGTAAAGCGCATGCGCAAATCTGGCTTTTTGGAGTCTGACAATATAGAGATTCCACTCCGCCACTAATATTCGAATATACAATAGCAATCTTATTTTTTTTTTCACATGTAGTATAGAAATTTGTAGTAAGATACATAATGCGGTTATAATAAAATATTGTGCAATTATTTTCATATAATTAAAATTAATATGTATTTATTTTTTAGAAAATACAAGGGAAGCGGGGCATCCACTGCTTCTAATGACGCCACGCCACTGATCACTATGTTCCATCAAATTTTATTCAATTTTTCGTCTGTTTCTCACCCGAGGAAGAACTTTATGTTCGAAAACATTAGTGATAGTGTATTTTTTTTGGAGAAAACGCACAGGTATTGGTTTTTAGAGGTTAGTTGTTACATCACATATTTATGTTAAGTAAAAACAGCTGTTAAATGAAAATATGCAAAAACTTTGTTTAAATCCCAATAAAATTACTGTAATACAGCAGTCATATTTTGCATTGCATATATGTATTATTTTGATTTTTAGTGCGTTGTGTTAGCCTGCCTAATTTTTTTCTAATATTACATATGTGTTTCTAGTCTTTGCCAGGCAGGTTTACGATTTGTCTGTGTTTTGAGTGCATCTGTCTGTGATCATAGCTTAAGGCTATAATACACCACTACACCAGTCTAATTAAGTCTAATTAAGGCTACAGTCACTACACCAGAATAATGTAGAGTAATAGACTTACTTAACTTCAATCACCAAATGATCACCTTAATATCGGGCTATAATTAAATGATTAGTATAAAGTAATTTGACATTAGAGGTAGACGTGAGGCGCCATCTCTTAAGTAAATTAATAATTATAATTAAATAAATAAATTATTAAATAAATTTAGAACCTTCTGGAATAAAATAATTATTAATTTAAATTAATTAATTATTATTATAAAGTATTATATAGTAAATTAATTATAATTATTAATTTACTTAAGAGATGGTGCCTAACGTCTAACTCTAATGTCAAATTACGTTATACTAATCATTTAATTATAGCCTGATATTAAGGCGATTGTTTGGTGATTGATAGTATATTTCTCGGGCTTTGAGTTGTTATTATTGATATATATATATACCTTGCTGGGTGTTACGTTAGCTGGCTGAGTGCCATTGGGGTCGTGGCCGATGGAGTCGTCCCCAGTCAGTGATGTATTTAACCAAGTAAGGTTATATCTAATCTAATATACTTCTGGAAGCAAAGACTCGCTCGGGGTCCGGGTGGCGTAACTGGCAAGTGCACTGCACGGCAAGCGGAGGTTGTGGGTTCAAGCCTTGTCCCGGGTCAGTTCTTTTATTCCAGAAGGTTCTAAATTTATTTAATAATTTATTTATTTAATTATAATTATTAATTTACTTAAGAGATGGCGCCTAACGTCTACCTCTAATGTCAAATTACTTTATACTAATCATTTAATTATAGCCCAATATTAAGGTGATCGTTTGGTGATTGATAGTATATTTCTCGGGCTTTGAGTTGTTATTATTGATATATATATATACCTTGCTGGGTGTTACGTTAGCTGGCTGAGTGCCATTGGGGTCGTGGCCGATGGAGTCGTCCCCAGTCAGTGATGTATTTAACCAAGTAAGGTTATATCTAATCTAATATACTTCTGGAAGCAAAGACTCGCTCGGGGTCCGGGTGGCGTAACTGGCAAGTGCACTGCACGGCAAGCGGAGGTTGTGGGTTCAAGCCTTGTCCCGGGTCAGTTCTTTTATTCCAGAAGGTTCTAAATTTATTTAATAATTTATTTATTTAATTATAATTATTAATTTACTTAAGAGATGGCGCCTAACGTCTACCTCTAATGTCAAATTACTTTATACTAATCATTTAATTATAGCCCGATATTAAGGTGATCGTTTGGTGATTGATAGTATATTTCTCGGGATTTGAGTTGTTATTATTTATATATAATTTAACTTCAAAATACAGAAAAATTGTTACCCCTTAGATTAATAAAATGCACAAAACTGCTTTGTATTCATACAAAAAATCTTAAAAATATCTATATTATTTGAAATGTAAAAACTGAAAATGACTCCACAAGAGTTTAAAGAATTTTTTTAAATAAAGATTTTTTTTCTGGTATCTGTATAAAGCAGTGTTGCACATTTTACCTATGTATGCAGTGGTGATATTCAGCGGGTTCGCACAGGTTCGGCCGAACCCGTTGTTAACATTTTCAAAGTTTTCCGAACCTTGTTAAACACATGTAACATTTCTCAATGGTTTGATTCTTTTAAAAATATTAAAATATACGTATTATACTCTGTAACACTACTAAACTAGAGCCTTCCGATGCACCATTTGAGCGAAAAAAAAATTGTTAAGGAAAAATTTTCTNGGTGGATATACATACCCGGTACAAAACATTCTTCAATTGCACGAATATACTTTTAAAGAAAATTATAATTAAATATAGCTTTGTAATGAAACGTACATAAAAG